ACCTCGAGAGCCTCGTTAGGGTCGCTGCCGTGAACTGCGACGAAGATGAGAACAAGCAATTATGCGGCATGATGGGAGTCAAGGGTTTTCCTACCCTCAAGATCGTACGCCCTGGCAAAGGAAAGGGGAAGCCAATCGTGGAAGATTACAACGGCCCTCGAACAGCCAAGGCCATTGTCGACACAGTCGTCGAGAAGATTAACAACCATGTGAAGCGCGTAACGGACAAGGACATTGATTCCTTCCTGTCAACTAAGAACGAGTCTGCCAAGGCTATACTTTTCACCGAGAAGGGTACTACTAGCGCTCTACTAAAGAGCATTGCGATTGACTTCCTCGATGTTATCAGCGTTGCACAAATTCGGGATAAGGAAACCAAGGCCAACGAATTATTCGGTATCAAGTCCTATCCGACCTTGGTACTACTACCAGGGGGTGACAAAGAGAGCGCATTGTACGACGGAGAGATGAAGAAGGATGCCATGGTCAAATTCCTGTCACAAGTCGGCGAACCAAACCCGGATCCAGCACCCGCCAAATCAAAGGGAGACAAGAAGAAATCCGAGAAAAAGGACAAGAAGGCCTCTCCCAAATCCTCCGAGTCCAGCTCCAAGACTACCTCGACGGAATCAGACGAGTCAACCGACGTCCCTCCCGCCGCCGAAAAGCCGGTCGAGCCTGCGCCGCCCATCCCAACCATCACCGAGGCGGACAAGCTGACCAAGGAATGTCTGAACAGCAAAGCGCATACCTGCGTTCTTGCCTTCGTACCTTCTGCTCACGGAGAGACTGCGGAGAAGGCCCTGACCAGTCTAGCAGAGCTATCGTTCAAGCACGCTCACGCACAACGTCACTTGTTCCCATTTTTCGAGGTCCACACCGACAACGATGTTACCAAGTCAGTATTCAAGAGTCTAGAACTCTCCGGGGAAGTCGAGATCGTCGCTGTCAACGGAAAGAGGGGATGGTGGCGCCATTACGAGGGTGACTTCAGCCCCGAGGGCGTGGAGAGCTGGATCGACGCTATTCGCCTGAGCGAAGGCACCAAGAAGAAGCTGCCGGACGGTGTTATCAGCGAGGCTGTCGAGGAAGAGAAGCCGGCTGAGAAGGTCGAGGTGAAGGTTGAGGAGAATGTCGAAGTCGAGGTTGAGCCTGAATCCGAATCGCCTTCCAAGGGTGCGGACCCGACTCCTGAAGCCACCGCAGCGGAAGAGGCAAAGGAGGTTCCGAAGCACGAGGAGCTGTAGATGGAAAAAAAAAACGGTGATGGGTTAGTATAGCACGGGCGATGTTCATATCTTGCTTTGAATCAAATAACGAATCAGAATTCCTTTCATGAAAAGAATCAACTTACTCGTATAAGTAAATTTGCTCTCAACCGTAACGCCTGCAAATGCTATGTCGTATGTCCCTATTTTATCATCCCTTAACCCTCACCGAATCCGGATGTCTCGCCCCCCAAGCTACAACTCAGACATCAATATCCATAGCCATACTAACCCCCTTCTCAACCGCCCCCTCCGCCACCATCCTCCTCCCCTTCTCCTTCACCACCGAATCCAAGTACTCGCGAATACTCCTGCACCCATCCGTAGCAGTGACCATCATGCCCTCCAGCCGGCCGACCTGGACCCTGCTCTCGCACACGAGCGCGGCCAGCTTGTCCGACGCGCCGAGAGTGGCGACGGTTAGAAACGGCAGCTCCTGCTCCTCCTGGCTGTTGAGGTCCATGAGCGGGTCGGCGCGCTCGTCGGCGGCGGCGTGCGACGAGGTGCTGCCCGCGCTGCAGGCGACGAGGTAGTCCGTCATGGGCACGCCGGCGTCCACGAGCGCCAGCGTCGCCGCGTTTATCAGCCCGGCCAGCAGCGACCCGTCCTGCGAGAGGATGTGCAGCGACAGCGTGATGGTGGAGCGCGGGAACAGGTGCGTGTGCAGCACCGCTGCGAGCGACTTCGCTACTGTGATCTGCAGCTCTTGGATGCGTCTGTTGCATGTGTTTCGTTAGCCCGCCGTATGCACCACACCAAGAGCATATGTATATATATATATATATATAGAGAGAGAGAGAGAGAGAAATAAAAATAAAAAATAAAAAAAGTGTGAGAATTACTTATCCCCCCGCCCCCTCTTCTTCCGATCCACAGTGCTGAACCCGCCCACGACGACGCCGACGAGGATATCCGCCGCGTTTCCCCCACCGCCGCCAGCCCCCCCCGCCGCGTTCGAGCTCGCGGCGCCGCGGCGCTTGCCCTCCTCGCTCGGCCCCGAGACCACGCACATGACCTTCGTGTTCCCCAGCTCGAAGTACGCGGACCCGTCGGCCGCGGCTTGCGTGCGGATCTGCGCCCGCAGTTGGCGCAGCTCGTTCCATCGCCGTCCGTCGATGCGCAGGAGCGCTAGGTTGTAGGTCGATGTGTCGAGGGGCATTGTGGCGCCCTTTTTTTCCTTTTCTTGTGTGGCGATTTTGGTTCTTTTTTTATTATTATCTCCGGGTGCTCGTTATTGGGCTGGCGCACACGAGTGAGTTGGTCGCGGTAGGTTTTGGTTGTTTGTAGGTGTACGGGGTAAAGTTGGCACAAATCGGGAAGCAAGCTTGAGCTGCTGGTTTGCATCAATGTGGATAGAAATTTTTGGTGGGGTTGATTTACAGATCCATTGATGGAAGTACATTGGTACATTCTCCAGACAAGACAATGTCGTTTTCGTGGTATGTCACTTGAACCTACCAAAAGGACAAAAGGACACACTGTTGGTATTCTAAGTCTGAATGTATTGAGATGATATATTGAATAATTAAAACTCTTCATATGTACCTAACTACAACAATAGATCAGGAAGTCAACGGTAAATAGAGTCAAGTAACCTTAAAGCTTACTGACATGCCAACATAGACATCTGAACAACGCAACGATTGACTATGTAGAAGTGAACAGAGTTACTGCGTAAAGATTAAGAAACGGATCCTCTTGACGTTCTACCGTCGGAGTGAGAGGTGAGTAGATACACTACACAAAATATGGGAGAATGGGACAACCGTGACCATTACCTAACGAATAATACTAAACTACCAATCAGCCTTTCCCATCTGATGCTCTTAGCACCTACCTATCCGATAGGTCACTTAGGAGCTGCAGTTCATCAAAAATATCTGCCTTGTGCTACACTGCCACCATAATACCCGGACTGCCGTAGTCTACGTGAAGGGGAGCATTAAGATTCAGTGCCGGTGCCGGTTCTACTTCCTCCGCATCAGTCCATCCCCTCTCCTCGCCCCAGAGAATTGTTAGTCCCCTGGTGGTGGCTACTTCGATTAGCCCGCGCATTAGTGCCCCTGACTTCTTGACATTGGGCCGAGCCTCGAACTCGATGCGCCTAACCCATGACATCTCGTCGAGAACACTGGTCAGGAGAGCCTTAGAGAACCGTTCGTAGAAGTTATCCGGTTGACGGAAACCTCTGAAGAAATCGTTCCCTGGGTCGCATTCAACGTAGACTGTGATCCTCGTGACATTGACGCAATCTGATAGACCTAATGCTGGATTCACAACCCAGCCACGAGGTGGACTACTCCACCCCGGCCCCAGACGTAGCTCGAGCGAGGACAAACATGATCGCTGGTTTGGTTTCATACGAGCCAGAAGTGGCTTCTTTGTCTTGAAAAAACGACCGGGGGTGGTTGAGAAGATGCGAACCGGGCGAGTACTGTAGAATAAGTACGAAGCTTCCTGGTATATAGTGCTACAGGTGCGCAGAATGGCTAGTTTTTGGTGAATCCTCTTATAATTATCGTAATCAAGGTCTAGCACACCGTCAGTGTTGGCGAAGTGGTAATCGTACACTTTTAAACGAAGTTCGGACGGAAGATCAAGAAACCGGAACGGCCGCAGCTTTTCTCGTCTCGGCTTACGTAATTGCGACGCCGATACATCTAGCGTAAGGGCACCGATGGGTATCTTTGACACTTCATCGTTGATATCATACTCGGCTTCGGAGGCGTAGGTCGAAGGGTAGGCCGAGCTAAGCGGTGTGGCGAGGTTTGAAGAGACAGGTGTTGGGCCTGAGGCTTTAGCAGCCCGCGAACCCTTCGACGTACCAGCCTTGCGACGCATCTTGTATACGTCGGCTTACCTAGGTAGGTATGCGGGATTGCTAGTTGGTTTGCGTACGAGTCCAAGGATTTGGATGTGGCGACACAATCACTGTGGTATAACCGTCACGCGACAGTGGATATTCGTGTATAAGAAGTCAAAAGAGACTAAATCTTCTCGGTCGGATTTGCAATTTGATATTTGCAGTTCGCAGAGATTCGCTCCGTGGTCAATTCAAGGTAGTTGATGGAATCGATGTACAAGGTGGTATCGCGAGGGTGGTGCCATCGCGATACTTCGACGAATGACGACCACCCTCTAAAACGCAACACTCATCGCTGCCATGTTGGATGAAGTAGGAAATCGGTCGTATGCAGTGTAATTCATAAAGAAGTCGAGATGACAAATAGGCTAAGAATCGGAAGTAGAAGATAAATGGGAGAAAACGACAGCCCCAAGAATGAAGAGAGGGGAAGATGGGAGATGGTTCGGCAGAATAACCTTGAATACGTTCAGTATTCCGATGTAGCGGTGGTGGTAATGAGGATGAGTCAATTCTATTTGATGATTGAATCCTTAGAATAGAAATGACTTGGACTTGCACCTCGAGATGATAGTTAGGGAAGTTGGGGTTCATTCATTGACCATACAAAAGCATTGATGACATGACTAAAAGTGGTTCAGATGATTTGATTCGGAGGAAGTCACGGATCTGTACCTAGGTAGTGTAGTGGGGTTCCGACTTTTTCGTAGCGGGAACCAAAACCATCTTTGTCATCCTCCCGAGTCCAGACCCACGCGCACACACAAACAACTTCCACAATCGGTCTAATCTCAGCTTTATCAATCCAAACTTCAGCAAATTGAATCATCGAATCATTACATCGATCTCCTTGGAGATTACGATTTAGGGGCAGAATGGCCGAGTGGTTATGGCGGAGGGTTCAAGCTTATCAACTTACCTAATGGAAAACTTGGGTACGCTTTCCTCTGGAGCAATCCGCAGGGGTTCGAATCCCCTTTCTGTCAATATATTTTTATATTCTTTTTTTCTTTTCCGTTATGTTTTGTACTCTCTTTTTGCTTTTCGTTGTTTGTTTGTTTTGCTTCTTTTTTCGACACATTTTTAATCTCTTAATTTTTCAAGTATCTAAGTATTCTTCAATGACGTGATGTGGGGTGTTCTTATACTGATAGCGGAGAAAGTCTGAACCGACTTTTGCTAGGTGGTGATGGCGGCAAAACTTCGGCAATAAAATTTTTGGATATTGGCAGATATCATCATACCCAGGATTTGACAAATTTCAATTGAATAAGTTCAAGCGTTCGGGATGGTTTAAATTTTTCCAACTCAACTGTTCAACTTTCGGCATTCCCGCGCAGTGTCGACGGATGAGCCTCTAGTCTGCATTTCACTTTGCTGACTAGACTACGGTTAAGGGACCTTTGGTATATATCGGTTAGTCGCCATTCCGTGGTATCTCCCGCACAACAAGGTCGACAACCTGGCATCATGCTGTCAAGAGCACTTGCGCGCTCTGCGCGACTACCTGCGCTTTCAAGATCGACCATAGCTATCCCAGCTATTTCTAGAGTTTCATGTCCCGCGACTTCGATATGGATCCGAGGCATGGCTAAGAACCGAAATCGGAATCGGAATCGAGACTGGCAAAACTCAGGTTCGGACCAACAATCAAGGCAGAACCAACCTTCAGCAAACTCTGCTCACCCTTCTCAACCTACTCAATCTCCCAAACCTCAGGCACCCCCGCCAAGTTCTGAGCTGCCAGATTCCGAGCCTCCACGTTCTGAACCTACACCTGCGCAACCTTCGCAAGATATCGAACCCGAGTCTCCATCCAAACCCGACCTAAGTTCTCTTCCCGATCTTACCCAAGGTATTCCGTCGACTCTCGAATATGAGACGAGTGGCGCCACCGATAAATCAGCACTTGCCGCAGTCGAGGATAAAGAGACGCCCGAAACCGAATCAGGCGGTGGCCGCGGTCGTGGAGAGCTACCTGCTTCCGCATACGTCAGTTCGACTGAGAAGCGGAGGAACAGGTTTGCCAATCGCATGTATGCCAGTGCGCTATTCTTCGGTGTTCTTGGCTTGGCGTATCTAGGCCGAGAATGGGACGAAGACGAAGCTCATATGCATACCGATATCCCCAATGGCTGGTCATTAGGACTTTGGTGGACGCGCATGATGGCTCGGTTCGGAGATGTCACCAGCTACTACAGTGAACCGGCTTTTGATAAGCTGTTACCCGACCCCGATCCCTTGTTCGAGCGACCCTACACTCTTTGCATCAGTCTCGAGGATATGTTAGTGCACAGCGAGTGGACGCGGGAACATGGCTGGAGAGTCGCGAAGCGGCCTGGTGTCGATTACTTCCTGCGCTACCTTAGCCAGTACTACGAGTTGGTGCTGTTCACAAGTGTCCCGTTCGCCATTGGTGAGCCATTAGTTCGGAAGCTAGATCCCTTCCGATTTATCGTCTGGCCTCTGTTTAGGGAAGCTACCAAATACAAAGATGGAGAGATTGTCAAGGTCGGTCCCATTAATTCCCACTTACACAAATCGTGCTCATACTAAACGCAATGTCGCATAGGATTTATCATACTTGAACCGTGACCTCTCCAAAGTCATAATAATCGATTCAAAAGCCGAGCATGTTCGGAACCAGCCCGAAAATGCCATTGTGCTTAACAAGTGGACTGGCGACCCCAAGGATACCGAGCTCGTATCGTTGATTCCTTTCCTCGAGTACATTCACACTATGCAGTACAAAGACGTGCGCGAGGTACTGAAGTCCTTCGAGGGAAAACATATCCCGACTGAGTTTGCCCGCCGAGAAGCGATAGCACGGACCGAATTCCAGAAGCGATTCGAGTCTGAGAAGCGGAAGCGAAAGAGTGGTATGGGGGCTCTAGGCGGTCTGATCGGACTAAAGCCTAGCAACATGAGCATGATGGTACCCGCTGAAGGCGACATCAGCCCGAGCGAGGCCTTCGCGCAGGGTAAGATGCTGCAGGACATTGCGCGAGAGAGGGGTCAGCGCAACTACGAGTTGATGGAGAAGGAGATCCGCGAGAACGGCGAAAAGTGGCTCAAGGAAGAACAACAGGCGAACGAGAAGGCACAGGCCGAGGCTATGAGCAGCATGAAGACCTCCTTCACAGGCTGGTTCGTACCTTCGAAACCGGAGGAACAACCTAATTCTACCGAACCCAAGAATTAAACCAGAAGATCGGAGATGTATATAATCCGAGGATATGTATGATATGAAGAACGCCTACGGGGAAGGCGTTGGTTGATTCGCATCATGGTTGTTATAGGGGGGACTACGACAACGGCAACCATTCACAATACTACCACTACCGCATTACCCCGGGACGAAACTCTACTCTTGAAACGGCGGGCATGATTCTTGCATAGGAAAGGCTAGATTTAAGTGGGGGATGACTGACTGACATAAACACATACGTTAAGGCCACGGCTAAAGGAAAATCTACTCGTCACATCCAAGGCTTTCCAAATCCTGGAGGGAAGGCCGAGAAAGGACATGGGGGTGGGTGGGGGTGAGAAGCAGGAGAGAAAGAATATACGCCGAGATAAAAATGTAATCTCTGTATTATAACATAAGTGAGCGACTCGAGGCTTTTTTACCCGGCCTCGATTGCGGTGTATAGAAACCCAATCCATCAAACAAAGTAACTGACTGATCCCCTGAGCGGATCTGGCCCGTCACGGCCGATCATTGTGAAGTTATTCGGTATGCTTGCATCGCCCGTCCCTCCAACCCCCCCTTCTCTCCCTTTGCCCCTATTACTTGATGAGAAGCAACTCCATACCCAACCCAAAATCGTGCGTGGTGAAGGTAGACCGCCCCATCTCATATTTCCCTCAAGGCGCCCTTATCCAATAAACGCATTCCTCATTTTTTCTTTTTTCCCCTCCTTCCCATTTCCCACAACGAGGGTCCGTCGGTTTACCCGGTCTGGCCCCTCGTCGTCGTGCTGTGGTTGCCCCAGGCGTTGTGCTCGCGGCACCACTCGCAGCTCGGGTCGGTCTCGCAGTTGAAGTCGCTATTTGTTTTTATCGGGACTCGGTTAGCAAATGTAGAAAGATAAATTTCATACAACCTCCTGTTTATTTCTTTTTTTTAATCTGTGCTTGTCTCTCCTGGATCATCCCAGAGCACGTGGTGGGAGTGGGAGTGGAAAAGACAACGTACCCGTCTTCGCATTTGCAGTACTCCTCCAGCGAGGCGCAGTCCGGCGTCGTCATGGCGGCCGCGATCTCGACCGTGGTTGGCACGGGGGATACTGTCACCGTCGGCAGCGTGGTCGGCGCTGGGACGGCGAGGGCGGCGCCGCAGAGGGCGAGGGCTAGGGCGAGGAGGCTGGAGGGTTGCATGGTGGATGGATAGGATGGCTCTAAGTAAGGATGATGTTGGGTACGTTGGGAGGCTTCGTGTGCTTGATATGTGTAGGTCTGGACTGGTTTCTCTCTTGTGGGTATGTTTAAATGGGTGCCTGTATGTAAGTGAGTCCGACTACGTGGTAAAGTGGAGGTTTATATGGAGTTTTTGACTTGTTCTCTTGTGGGTATATATAGCTGGCTGGGCTCGGTATCGAAACCCTAACTCGGTGTTCATAAGTTGCTCCACGAGGGGGTACGATATTCCACGGTCTCTTTCTTCCGGACAGGGTGAGTCGATGCTGAGACACTTCCTGTCCTTGCCGATCTCGGTAACGATTCCGGTCCCTCGTCTTGTTGAACTGGAAGATGTTGGAATAACCGCGGCGAGAGAGCACATGATGGGTTCAGACGACCTCGTGGCTTTCTGCCGCCGAGGTTGCTACCGTCGCTCGTGCTAGTATTATAGCCCCACAGGGTATCGTGTGTTCGCCCCCTCCTCTGCCTTGGGATGTTCTTCTTTCCCCTACATCTTCACGGCGTAAGGCTTTCTAAGCAACGTTGCGTGGTGGCTACGCGAACACAAGAACTGCCCACGAGCCATAGCCTCCTGATGAAAGAGCCCATGTGGATGGGCTTGAACGACCTCTCTGGAAGGTATGTTCATTATCATACAACTATCAGCAACTCAGCGCGTACAAGTTTCAGATTCGAACTGAACTTGATATTGTCCTTGAAGGGGCCGAAATCAAGGAAGAGATCTCGGCAGTTATTCCGTGGGATATCTGCTTCTTGTTTCGGAACCACTATGCGATGAAGAGATAGAGATCCAGTATAGACAGGTCGTTATGGGTCGTTACATATGATGAGAAACATTGCGTGCGACTTACTACCTGGATAATCAACTATTTGATGTAAACCTCCTAGATTATTCACCGATCATCAACTGCAAGGCACAAACATAAGTCTACGGGGAAGAATATCCGTGTGTCGCAAGATTACGGTTTCTGAGGCTCGAGTCATAACAAGGAATAATGATAATACGTTGACAATGTATGATCTAAGGTAATGGTTCTTACACACCCTGGTTTTATACGCAACATAAATCAATGGTGGATTGGCAGTAGGTCTGGGTTAATTTTGAGGCGTGAACTAAGCTGCTATGAATAATCCCGCGGTGTTAATATAAACTATCTAATAATAAAGACATGTCGAATAGGACATCATAGAGGACAAATAGTAGGAAAATGACGATAATCTGAGTTATGAGAGCGGATGCTCGTCATTATTAAGGATGTCGACATCGAACAACTACATGACGGACGGGTGGCATGTGCTTGAAACAGAAAACCCCAATAGAAGTAAGCTAGCTGGATGGTGAAAGGTAGTATCCATCCCCGAGTTCAAGTAGATGCCCAGTCAAATTGACGTTAGAAAGATAGGGGGCGTCCAACTTTTCAACTAAGACATCTCGTTGTTGTATCACGCAACTCCGTCCTATAATAGTCGAAGGACATCGACGATTGCGTAAGCCATATCATACGTATGAGCCTAGAGAGATCAGATTATATGTGGTAGCACAACATGGAAGTATGTAGTCTGG